TATTTACAAACATGATAAATGCAATACTATATTGTAATAATAAATACAAATGCAATACTACATTGTAAAAATAAAATACAAAATAAAAGGGTCAAACCCTTTTACCATTTGTATCATTTAATAATATCAAAGTATGACAAGAAGTGCACATTACATCTGTTTATATCTTATGGAAAGATATCTTATATCCATAAGCAGTATGGCACAGACCAGCCTCAGAATCCCAAAAACCTTGATTCAGAGTCCCCCCCCTAAGAAGTACTAACCACATGACTACAGACAGGTCACTTAGCTGCTTTTTAGTGAGTGCCCCTGGTAACTAAGACAATAAAGTATAGATGAGTTGCCTTACTAAGGTGGAAGGAATTTCTACACCAGGAATTCCCTGCACAGATGAAATCCCAGCTTAGAACAAAAAAAAAGGACATAAATACATATTACCATAAATATGTTATATTGGTTTATAGCTGATATCTAAGAGTACATTCCAAATTAAACTGTTTTAAGTTGGTTCACTCATTTATAGAAATAATAGATATAATAAAATTCTACAAAACAACAAAACATTTGTTTGGAATTCAAGTTGTAAATTACTTATTTCATGTAATAGTCAACACTACATAAATTTCAAAAGAACCTGGACAGTCCAATGGAATTCATGGTAAAAGCACCTGACCTATTGTACAAACAGAAAACCAAAAGTAATTTAGAATAACACGCCATTTTAAAAGCTATATATACTAAGACTTTGTCCACTTCACACAATAGAGAAATGTGGCCATTTTCTTGATAAATCAAACTGATGCTTTGCCTACAGTATGTAAATCATTAAAAAGTAAAAATATATTTGCAGCCCAAATTATTCAAGACAGCTGTCTCAATTTTCTACTTCAAATGTGCAAATATAGTTTACCATTGACCCCTTTAATAAAGACAATACATACCTATTAAAACACAGTATTTTCACACACTTTTAATGAATTATATCACTGAGAAGTTGATCAGCAGCTATCACTTTGCAAGATGCATTTTCCAACTACATGGCCTAGTGCTCCATTCTGCAAGATGCTGCCAGTCAGAAAATGAGTTAGAAGAGGTACTTATTACAATGAAGTAGTAAGCTTTCTCCCTAACAGGTCTTGGCCAAGTTTTTGAATAAGGACGAGGTAAATGACTGTTTCGTTAATAGAAATATTTTAACAGAGGGCTTTAATTCCCTTCCATTCCACCCTCTGCAATAGAATAACATGCCAGAGACTTCCTATGCTTTCTTCTCCCTCACTTTAAGCCTAGTATGAAGAGGATCCTTTTCTTTCCCTCTATCCCTAACTTCCACTTCTTTCTTCAAAGGCCAAAGAATATATTCACTAGCTGTCAACTGAAATATGCTCTCACTTTAGCAATGCCAAGGTGGTCTGTCACAATAGAAAATCAGAAGCCAGCATAAGCATCTGAAGGCAAATTTCATTTATGGCAACAAACAGCTCCAATGATGTTAATAGGTACCTTTCCTTTAGGTGCAAAAAAAGCATCTAAAAAGTATCATCACACAATAATCACCAGTAAGAGAGATCATATTATCTAACAGTCAACTCCAATTAAGTACAAAAGGAAATTAATGCGTTTACCTCCTGCAATCAGGCCATTAATGCAAAATACTGACGGTCCAATTTCAATGAAAAAATGAGTTCTGAGCATGCATTAAAAACCAACTTTAAAGGTACATTATAGGAACCCTAACATGTTACAGCAGAATTACAAAATTTAACAGGCTGGGAAAAAAAAGATCAAGTTTAATGTTTTCAAAAGAACCAACTACACAATGACAAGCTAAGGCAGCACAGCCTAGTGAAAGAGGGCTGAACTTAGAGTCAGAAAAAACCTGAGTTTTAAAATGCCACTTCAACTACTTACTAACTTTATGATCCTTCACTCCTCTCTGAGCAAAGGCTCCTCATTGATAGAATAAGTATAATAATACTTACACTACCCATCTCAGAGGACAGTAGTGAAGAAAAGTGCTTTGCAAACCTGAAAGCACTATATATGTTCAAACTATACATAAACAAACTAGCTGTTCAAAAGCAGCTTTAAAAAATATCAAAAAATAAAAATATAAAGTACTTTTTGCTACTAAATATCTTCAATAACTTCCACAGACACACATTTCTTGTTATAATTCTTATATGATTTGTTATTATCACTTCTTTTTGCTCTGACTTTTGAAATAAAGCTATAACACTATTACAAAAGAAGATGGTACATAAAATCCCTTCTAGTTCTATAATCCTAAGAAAAAGATTTAATAGGCTTTGGTACAGTTTCTATGAAAACAGAGCATCCAAGCTGAGGACATCATTCCAAAGTCCAACACCGTAAATGGAAGAACTTATCACAGAATGTTTAAACTGCTACTGTTCACATAAAACTATGGTCCCATTCAAAGGATGTCACCTCTACTGATGCACTGGTAATTCAAAGAACATATTAAACAGGCATCAAAAGACAAATTTAATCATGCCAGGAAGAGTCAAGAGTTTTTAAACCAGATTCACAAAATTTTCCATAACTGCTTAACATATGTTTTCATATTGCTCTTGGATCTATTGATTAGTAGGCATCTGAATATTATACCCCAACACAAAGCTTTTATCCAAATTTAAAATAGCTTAAAATTGTGTCCATGATCAAAACAATGTATTCACCCTATAAGTAAAAATATAAATTACTACAACCATAAGCTCTGTTCATTGGCCAAGTGCCTTATAACATTAACAAGAAACTAATTTATAAGTCTTTAAGATTTACATTGATTTTCTCACACAGTCCTGTGAGATAGCAGCTATTCTTACCAGACATTCCCTTGTGGAAAAAACTACTACCATTATCCCCTTTAACAATAACAAAAACCGTACAGGCTCCAGATCACCTTAATGGTGTGGTCAAAGCCAGATGATTCTCAGTCCCTAGATTTCCCATCTTCTACTTAGCAGTTGGCATACCACCTAAAGTTAGAGATTTTTATCTTTGGGGGGACAGAAGGGAACACTTGAAGAAATTCTTACACCAATGATGACAGGCAATTAAGTTAGATACTTAAGAAAACTAACTAGGGCACTAAAGGTTAAAAGGCTTGTCCAGGTTCACACAATCATTACGTGTCAGAATGAGGTCTTGAATCTTCCTGACTCTAAAGCTAGCCCTCTATCCATTAAGTCAGGCTGCCCTCAATGCTATAGGATAACGTTATACACTAAGTTAACCCTCAACATTATTACGTTTTTTCTGGCATTAAGATAAACTCGTCACCTGTGAAAAAAAGAATAGCTCAGGATAAACTGGAGAAGAGGAAAGTGTAGAGGAAGACAAACTTTCATATCCTGCAAACTTCCCTAGAAGCTGTGTTTGCCTTTGAACTTGGGCTAAGTTAATTCCAAAAGTAATTTGCATCCCAAATTTCAAACCCAAAGGGAACACTTACACCACCATTTCTCTATACATCCTCAAAACAACACAGCATATAGCACAGTCCTCCAGCCTGAACGAGTTTTTTCTGCACATAGTACATTCTTGCTAAAAGCACAAAAAGGATGTACTCCCCAAAAAACTTTTTATAATTAAATCCACCAACCGAATTTTTAAATGCAGTTTGAGCTAGCTTGCTATTTAAAGGACTCCTCCAGTGAATAACTGAGTAATATTAGCAATCATTACCCTGATTTATTTTCTTTAAGTTAGACTTCCATGTCTGGTTTTCTTTAGTCCTACGGTTACCTAATTTAAGTCAAATCACTCGAAAATTGTGTCCTCTGAAACCCAATAAAGTTCCTTGCTAATGTGTCAATCAACAAAAACAAAAAGGTAGCTTTTGAAGAGAAGAAACGTGCCCTAGAAATGTTAAGTACAGACAGGCAAGAAGCGTGAGGGTTAGAGCAGCAGGCGCACCAGGGGGGATGCTCCAGCGACAGCAGCAGCAGCAGCAGCAGCAGGAAGTTTCAATGGGGCCGGGCCGAGCATGCGCCATGCACTCGCGCGGTGGCCTTATGTGGAAGGAGCACCACTTGCGAACACCAATAATAGACCAGCAGCCCCAGAGAGAAACATGAGCAACAAGCACCTTCTTCTGCTCTGTTCCCCCCCCCACCTCGGAGAGACCGAGCCCCTCCTCCCACCACCGCTCCCCCTACACACACATTCACACACACTCACACTCACACCCCGCAAACATGAGGGAAAGAGGACAGCGACTCCTTTCTCCTCCCTACATCCCCGCAGCCAGAGGTGAAAAAGGAGGGAAGAACTGGGAAAGTGGAGAAATACACCGATGCATCTGGGGGGAGGGGAAGGCACCCTCTCGCCTCCCGGGAGGGGGCTCCAGGGAGAGCCGGATGGAGCAAGAACCTAGGCTCCATTCTCACAGGAGATGTGGGGGTTCTGAAGGAAGGGTCTTGAAGGGCGTCCCCACTCGGTGCAAAGAGCCTTGGAAGAATAAAGCGGGGGGAGGGGGAAGGAGGGAATGGAGGAAGAGGAGGAGGAAGAAACACTTTCCAGGGGGAGTGCGCACATGGGGAGGGGGACTCCAGGAGCTCCACGTCCTCCAGTCCCTGGACTCAGGAGCGTGCATAAGGGTGGGGGCATGGGGAAGGGGCGTCCCGAAGAGGGGCTGGGCCCGGCATCCCCGGGGTGCAAGGAGAGGGGGCGGAGAAAGCGCAGGGAGGGCCGGAACCTGCGCTCCCCTCCCCAGCCCGGGAGGGAGAGGGGGTGGAAGGACCGTCCTGGAGAACAGCACACAATACCTGCCCCCCCCGCCCCAATTGCTGCCCGCCCCCCACCCACGCAGGGGGGGGTGCTCGCCCCGCCCCCTCTCCCGGGGCCCAGAAAGGGAAGGAGCGGCCCGGGGTTGCGCCAAGCGGGCATCTGTTTCCCCAAGGCCAGAGGTGGAAAAGGGAGCCCAGGCCTGTTCCCGCCGCGGGGCCGCTTCGCTCGCCCGCCCCGCTTACCCTCGCTGTCGCCGGCGTCGGGCGTGGGCGCCTGCAGCACCCGCTCCAGCTCTGGGAAGGGCAACTCGGGCAGGTCGAGCAGCGGCCCGTAGCGCTCCAGGAAGGAGCACACCACGGCGAAGTTGGGGCACGAACCGGGGCAGCCCGGAGGAGCCGTCGCCGCCGCCGCCGCCGCCGCCGCCATCTTGAACTGGAGGATGGAGGAGGGGGAGTGGAGAGAGATGGAGGGGGGAGGCCGGCGGCGAGGCGGGGTGACCGGCAGGGGGCGCTGGAGAGCCGGGCTCCCCGCCGCGGAGAGGAGGGGGGCGAGGTCGCCGCTATCCCACAATACCACAGCAGCAGGGAGCAGTCGAGAAACGGGCCCTTTGAGGGCAGAGGAGCCACCTCTTCCCTTCGCCCCCCTCCTTCCCCTCTCTTCTTCTATCTACCCCTCCCGCTCGGAGCCCGAGTTGCCAGTCACCGATTCATGTGACAGCGGGAATGAAAACAAGGTGAGCGCGCGGCGGAGGCGGGGCCGGGAGCCCAGCGGGTGGAGGCGGGGCTTCGGAGAGGGCGGGGAGGGGAGAAGAGATTTCGAGGCCAATGCGCTCGGCCGCAGGCGGGGCCTCGAGGTCCGGCGGTTGGCGGCGGGCGATGAATGGTGGAGATGACCGTGCTGGGCGGGAACGAGCGCGAGCGCGAGGGCTGGGCAGGAGTGAGCTTTCCGTGTCCCAGAGCCGCGGAACCCCGGAGCGAGGGGGAAAACACGGAGCCGGACTTTTGACCGGAGGCTCCGGGGCCCGAGCTGACGCAGACGCGCAGGGTGAGTCTGTGGGGTCGCCGCGATCCTCGGTTCCCAGGAGGGCGGGGTGGGAGGAAAGGAAGAGCTGCCCCTTGATGGGGACGGGGCCCCACTGGTTTGCGGGGAGACCTCGGCCCTCGCGCCCCCTCCTTACAAGGGGCCTATGGTTTATTTACTGGCCTGCCTCCCCCCACGAGGTATCACCCCTACGCGGGGCAGACCCCCAGGAGGTGTCCCCCCCACCCTTCCTCACGCAGGGGCCTCCCTCTCTCCCATACAGGGCTGCCCCTCCCCAAGGGAATGACACAAAGGGCTGCTGCCCCACCGGGTGTCACACGCCCCCTCCCTCCCTGAGCCCTCGGAGTGCGAGTTGTAGTTACTTCTGAGACACCCACCCAACGCCCACCCACCCCCCAGGGCTGAACCAATCCGGAGGGGCGAGGAAGGGGATTTGCCCGACCTGGCCCGCCCCCAGCTCACTTTCCCCGGAAAAGAAAAACTTGTGAAAAGTTAAAAAGAAAGGGGGGAGAGCTGGGAACGATAGGACTCAGGTTTGGTAAAGTGGCACTCGGCTATCGGCTCAGTCCTCACTTTCTTGACCTTTCGTCCACTTCGGGGCACCTGCCATCCTTAGCCTCGCCCTCGGCTTTCCTGCCCAGGGGACCCTCCTCCGTCCATCGTCCTCTCGGCCTCTACGGGAGGGTGTCCGAGAAGAGCCTCTATTCGTGCTTTTGTCTCTGCTTCCTCCCAGAGCTTAGCACAGTGCCCCGGCCCATGGTAGGCGCTTCGTAAATGTAGATGGTCTCTGTTTTTCTCTCTCTGACTCCCCCTCCCCACTTTGTGTCTCATCTCTCGTCTGTCTAACTTCCCTGAAGTCCCAGATAAAATCTCACCTTCTGCAGGAAGCCTTTCTCAATCCTTCTTAATTCTAGTACCCTCCCTCTGTGGATTATTTTCCATTTGTTCTGTATATAGCTTGTTCATACACGGTTGTTTGCATATTGTCGCATAACCACATCATCCTTCTTCGATCCCTCACTATTTCTCAGTACAATACAATCCCTTGCTCAAGCCTGTCGGTTTCATCTTTGCAAAACTATCCAGTGGTCCTCTTCTTTCCTCTGATATCCCCACTCTCTCAGTGGAGAACCTCATCCCCTGGAGCCTGGACTGTTGGAATAGACTGTTAGGTCTGCCTTTCTCAAGTCTCTCCTTACTCCAATCCACCCTCTGTTCAGCCACCAAAATGATTTTCCTGAAGTGAATTCTGACCTGGCTCCTCTCCTTGCCTCTCTCTCCCCTCACCCCCCACTCCCACTCCCCATCAATAAGCTCCATTGTTTCTTTATTGCCACTAGGAACAAATACAGAATCCTCTGTCAGGCAAAGCCCTTCATACTCTAGATCTTCTTGCTCCTTACTCAGCACCACTTACTTTTTGATCCAATGAAACTGACCCACTAATTGTTCCACTAACAAGACACTCCCCTCTCTCAGCGCCAAACATTTTCTCTTATCTGTCACCCATGCCTGGAATGCTCTCCTTCCTCATCTCTGCCTCCTGATCTCCCAGGTTCCTTCAGGTCCTACCTCAAATCCCATTATCTACAGGCAGCTTTTACCAGCTCCCCCCAGTGCTTTCCCTCTGTTAATTATTTCCTATTTGTCCTGTGTATAGCTTGTTTGTACTTACTTGTTTCCTTGTTGTCTCTCCCATTAGATTGTGAGCTCCTTGAGGGCAGCAACTGTCTTTTGCTTTTCTTTGTATCTCTAGGGCTTAGCACAGTGCCTGGCATATAGTAGGTACCAAATAAACGTTTACTGACTGACTGTCTCTCTCTCCCTCTTATCTCTAGGTAGATGACACCCAAACTATATAATCAATAATAATAATAGCCAGCATTTATGTAGCACTTTACATACACTTTACGTAGGTTTGCAAAGCACTTTAAATGTTATCTCATGTGATCAACAAAACTATTTATTAGGGGCCTACTATGTGCCAGGCACTGAGGATACAAGTACAAAAAATGAAACAGTCCTTACTTGCAATGACCTTACATTTTAATGGGGAAAATAAATACATACAGAAATGTATAACATAGGTACAAATATAGCTTTATACATGTATATATATTTGTGTGTAATTAAATACAAAATGACTATATGTAGAAGACATTGTCTTACCTGTATCTTTAAAGGAATAGAAGGACTCAATAAGGCAAAGGTAAGGGGGAAGTGCATTCTAGACATAGGAGACTGGACTAGCCAGTGAAAAGGCACTAAGAGGACAGATGAATAGCATTTATATTGTATATTTTACCTGCACTGTACTTCTGCATTTGTCTCTCCCGGATTGTTGCAAAGGCTTCTTAATTGATCTCTAACTTTCAGGCTTTCCCTTTTTGTAATCCCTCTTCTACAGAGATACCAAACTGATATTCAAAAAGCATATCTCCAGTAATCTATCTAAAATCAAGAGCAAGCATTGTCTGTAATGGAGAGAAACTTAAAGTCTTCTCAGTAAGATCAGAAGTAAAGTAAAGATGCTCATTATCACCATTATTCAGTATTGTACTAGAAATGCTAGGTATAGCAATAAGACAAGAAAAAAAATTGAAGGAACAAAAGTTTTTTGGGCAATGAGGAAATAAAACTATCACTCTATGCAGATGATGTGATGGTATACTTAGAGAACCCTAGAGACATCAACCAAAAAACCAATTGAAACAATTAACAACTTTAGCAGAGTTGCATTATATAAAATAAATCCATATAAATCATCAGCATTTCTATATAGTTATACCAACAAAACCCATCAGCAAGAGATAGAAACAGAAAACATGGCTCTTACCAGGTTAACCAATTACTTACAAATCTCCACTGTTTTCCTGTGGCCTCTATGATAAAATACAAACACCTTCATTTTACATTTAAAGCCCTTTAAAATATATTCCCCTCCACCACCCTTCCAGCCTTATTTTGTATCATTCCCTCTCCCTGCCTCTCTTTTCTCTTCTAGTCACACTGGCATGTTAGAAAGTCTCCATGCATGACATTCCATCTCTTATCTCTGTACCTTTGCATAGTTAGTCATAGGATCATAGCTTTAGGCTGAAGAGGTTAAATGAAACAGCTGCTAAGTGTCTGAGGCAGAATTTAAAGTGAGGTCTTGCCAACTCCAAGTCAAGGGCTATATCTACTGTGCCAGCTAGCTGCCTAGCAGGCCCTCTTTAAACGTGTCATCGCTGTCCCAGTCTCCCCCCTCCCCCATATCTAGAGTACCTTCTCTTCAGCTTCTTAGACTCCCTATTTCTTTGAGAATACAGCTCAATTGCCACTTCCTACTGGGAGGCTTTTCTGGTCCCCTATTTGTTAAAGCTCATTTCTTGAAATTGCCTCATATTATCGTGTATGTACTTTTCATTTACTTATTTGTGTGTATGTTTTATTCCCCCAATATAGTGCAAACTTCTTGAGGAGTGGAACTGGATTTTTTTTTGGCCTTTGTATCCCCAGGGTTAGTACAGCGTCTCCTGTATTAATAGGTACTTAATAAATATTAGTGTAATATGTTAATCAACAAGTATTAAATGCTTATGGATAAAATAAAGAAATAAATGAAACAATCCTAACTCCCAAAAAGTATATATTCTAAATTACAACAAGGACATAAAAAATACTTCCATATTAGTCACAGCTGTGAAAGAACAGACAGAAAAAAAAACACGAGAAAGAATAAATGAAGTGAAAAAAATAATGCTTTCATATGTAGAGTCCATCAGTTCTTTATCTCAGTTTGGGTAGCATTTACCTTCGTGAATCCACAGTTGCTCATCACTCAGAACTGTATACAGTGTTTTTCTGCTTCTGCTCATTTCACTTTTCATCAGTTTGTTAAGGTATTTCCTGGTTTTTCTGAAATCTGCCTGTTCTTCATTTCTTATTGTATAGTAGCATTCCATTATATTCATATACCTCAGCTTGTTCAGCCATTCCCCAATTGATGCGTATCCCCTCCATTTCCAATATTTTGCCACTACAAAAAGGGGTGCTATAAATATTTTTGCACATATAGGTCCTTTTCCCTTTTTTATGATCTCTGTGATACAGACCTAGTAGTAGTATTGCTGGATCAAAGGGTGTGCACAATTTTATAGCCCTTTGCGCATAGTTTGCGCAAATTGCTCTCCAGAATGACTGGATCAGTTCACAACTCCACCAGCAGTGCATCAGTGTCCCAATTTTCCCACATCCTCTCCAACATTTATCATTTCCTTTTTTGCCATATTAGCCAATATGATAGTTGTGAGGTGGTATCTCAGAATTGTTTTAATTTGCATTTCTAATCAGTGATTTAGAGCACTTCTTCATATGCCTATAGATACCTTTGATTTCTTCATCTGGAAACTGCCTGTTCATATCCTTTGGCCATTTATCAATTGGGGAATGGCTTGTATTTTTTTTTTAAGATTAATTGAATTTATTATTTGATTTCACAAACAACATTTATTTGTGTGTGATTAATTTATTTTTAATTTTCAGCATTCATTTCCACAAGATCGTAGTTCCAAATTTTCTCCCCATCTCTCCCCTCTCCCACCCCAAGACAGTGTGCATAGTTCCAAATTTATCTCCAGAATGGTTGGATCATTTCACAACACCACCAACAATGCATTAGTGTTCCAGTTTTCCCACATCTTCTCCGAC